TGCTTTTTCAATATTGTTTTGTCTATTCTGACTCCCTTGCATTTCGATATGAATTTAAAAATGAGGGCCGGGCACAGTGGCTCATGCTTGTAATCTCAGCACTTTGGGAGGCCGAGGCAGGCGGATCACCTGAGGTCGGGAGTTTGAGACCAACCTGGCCAACACAGTGAAACCCTGTTTCTACTAAAAATACAAAGCCAGTTGTGGTGGCGTGTGCCTGTAGTCCCAGCTACTCTGGAGGCTGAGGCAGGAGAACTGCTTGAACTCAGGAGGCGGAGGTTGCAGTGAGCCGAGATCGCGCCACTGCACTCCAGCCTGGGCGACAGAGTGAGACTCCGTCTGGAAAAAATAAAACAAAAGAATGAGCTTGTCCGTTTCTAAAAATGACTTTTAAAAGTTGTTGTAATTTTGATGGGGACTGCAATGAATCTACATGTCTATTTAGAAAAAAAGTGCCATCTATAGAACTTTAAGTCTTCTAATCCATGAACTTGGGATATCTTTCTGTTTACTTAGATCTTCTTGATTTCAACAATGTTTTGTAGTTTTCAGTGTAAATGTCTTGCACCTCATTGGTTACATTTATTTCTAAGTATCTTATTCTTTTTGCTATTATTGTAAAAGAATTGTTTTATTAATGTCATTTTTGGATTGTTCATGGATAATATATAGAAAGGCAACTGATTATTTTTCTTGAAATTTTCGTGCATAGTTGCTGAATCATTTATTAGCTTTCATAGCATTTTTGGGGGATGGAGATTCTTTAGGGTTTTCTAAATATAAGATCATCTCATTGGCCAATAGAGATACTTTTACATATTTTTTTTTTCCCAATCTGGATTTATTTTATTTCGTTTTCTTGCCCAATTGTCCTCCATACTACCCTGACTCGAAGCAGTGAGAGCAGAATCCTTATGATCCTTATCATGTTTCTGATCTTAGAAGGAAAGCATTTAGTCTTTTATCTTTAAATATAATTAATTTTAATTTTATTTATTTATTTTTAGAGACAAGTCTTGCTCTGTCACCCAGGCTTGAGTGCAGAGGCATGATCATAGTTCAATGTAACCTCAAACCTCTGGACTCAAACTATCCTCCTGCCTCAGCCTCCCAAAGTGCTGAGATTACAAGCGTGAGCTGCTGTGCCCGGCCCTCATTTTAAAATTCGTATCGACTTCAGACATACAGATTGCAGGCATGAGCCATTTCGCCTGACCTCCATTAAGTATAACTTTAATTGTGGGTTTTTCATAGATTCACTTTAAAATGTTGAGAAAATTCCCTTCTATTTCTAGTTTGTTGCGTGTTTTTATTAAGAAAGAGGATTGGATTTTGTCAAATACTTTTTCTGCATTTATTGAAATGAACGTGTTCCTCTTTCCCCTTTTCATTTTGGGGTATAAATTGATTAGTTTTTGTGCATTGTACTGACTTCATATATCTGGTATATAATCTTTGTCTATGTATTGCTGGATTCAGTTTGTTAGTGCTTTCTTTATAGTTTTTCCATCTTCATTCATAAAGGATATTCTGTATTTTTCTGTTTTGTGGTGGCTCTATCTGGTTTGCTATCAGGTAAAAATCCTGGCCTCCTAGAATGAGTTTGGAAATGTACCCTCCCTTTCTATTTTTTGACAAGTTTGTGAAGGATTGGTGTTAATTCATCTTTAAACATCTGGTAGAATTAACTGGCCATCTTTTTCTTGGCTTTTCTTTGTGGAGGTTTTTTAAAAATTACTCTCTCAATCTTTTCCTTATAATAGGCATATCCAGATTTTCTATTTCAATAGGTATATCCAGATTTTCTGTTTTCTCTTGACTAAATTTTGGTAAATTTTCGTCTTTCTGGGAGTTTATCCAACTCATCTAGGTCGTTTAATTTGTTGTCACACAATTGCTCATGCTATTTTTTTTTTTATAATCCTTTTTGTTTCTTTAAGATTGGTAGCGATGTCACTTCTTCTATTCCTGATTTTAGAAATGTGAATCCTCTGTCCTTTTTTCTATGGTTGGTCTAGCTAAAGGTTTGTAAATTTTGATGATATTTTTCAAATAACTAACTTTAAGTTTTATTGATTTTTCTCTATTGTTTTTCTAATTTCTATCTCATTTATTTCTTTACGAATCTTTTCTTCCTTCTGTTTGTTTTGGGTTTGTGTCTTTGAGTATAAGGTAAGTCTCTTCTAGATCAGATCATTGAATGGTGCTCTTTTACTCATTTGCAATTATCTAACTTATAGAGATCTTTCTAGTATACCATTTTAGTTTACTTGCAATTTTTATATTGTACATTTTACTATATATTTTTGAGTTATTTTATAGGAATTAAACTTAATAATTTATTTTATAACAATTCATTTTTGTTTAATATCAACTTTATTTCAACAGTATACAAAAACTTTGTTTATATATGGAACAGTTATAGCTCCCCATTCTTTATGTTGTTATTTTTACAAATTACATCTTTATACATTATGTACCCGTTAATATAAAATTATAATTATTGCCTTATGCATTTATCTTTTAAATCAGAGAGGAGAAAAAAGAGGTTAAAAATAAAACATTACCTTTATTTTGTATTTTATGTTTACCTATATCTTTATGTTTTCTAGGGCTTTTTATTTATTCATGTGAATTCCAGTTGCCAGTCAATGTCTTTTCCTTTAATCCTGAAAGACTCTCTTTAGTATTTTTTGTAAGGCAGGTCTGTCAGCAGTGAATACTGTCAGTTTTGGTTTATTTAGGAATATCTTAATTTCCCCTTCATGTTTGAAGGATAGTTTGCCAGATATTGAATTCTTGTGTGACAGATTTTTCTTTTCACATCTTGGATATGTCATCCTACTACCTTCTTACCTCTATTGAGAAACTAGCTTTCAATTTTGTTGAGGATTCCTTAAACATAATGAATTACTTCTCTCTTGCTGCTTTCAAAATTTCTCTTAGACTTTGACTTTCAACAATTAAATTATAAGCGGTCTAGAGGGGGATTTCTTTTATTTTATCCTACTAGGAGTTCCTGGACCTTCCCGAATGTGTAGACTAGCAATTTTTATCAAATTTTAGAAGTTTTGGCCATAATCTCTTCAAATATTCTTCTTGCTCCTTTTTGTCTCTTCTTTCTAGGATTCCCATTGTGCATATATTGGTATGATTAATAGTGTTTCACATGTCTTTCAGGCTTTGATAATGTTTTTGTTCTTTTGTTCTTGTTACTCAGAATAATCTTGATTGACCTATCTTTGAGATCTCTGATTGTTTCTTCTGTGTGCTTAATCTGCTTTGGTGTCCCTGTGGTAAACATTTTTTATTTCAGCTATTATGCTTTTCAATTCGAGATTTTCTACTTTATTCTATTTTATACTTTTGTCATTTAATCTATATTTTATATTTGGGAGACATAATACTATGTCTTTAGACATAGTTTCCTTTAGCTATTTGAACATAATGTAAAAGGCTAATTTAAGGTTCTTGCCTAATTAGTTCAATATCTAAGCTTCCTCAAGGATATTTTCTATTTGTTAATTTCTTCCCCCTACTTTCCTGTTTCTTTGCATGTCTTATAATTTTTTGTTGAAAACTAGACACTTCAAATAATATAGTATGGCAATTCTGGGAATCAAATTCTCTGTTTTTCTTTTGTTGCTGCTTGTTGTAGTACTAGTTGTGTGTTTGTTTGATAAATTTCTGAACTAATTTTGTGAAGTCTGTATTCTTTGTCATGTGTAGTCATTGAGTCTAGACTCAGCTAGCTTAGTGGTCATCTAATGATTGGACAGAAGTTTCCTTAAATGCCTGAAACTAATAAATCTTCTAGTCTTCGCTGATGGGCTTTGGATGTGTTGAGACTTTCAATGTTATTTACAAATATCTATTTAAATGCCAATGTAAGTACTAAATCTACTCTCAGTAGGATCCTGTTCTTGTGATTTAGTCAGGCCATTTACCATGTTGCTTTAGCTTTCAATTCCTGCTTTCACAGAGCCCCAAAGTCAGCCAGCATTGAGAGTTTAGTGTTTTTTTTTTTTTTTTTGTCTTTTGCGAGCATGTGCACAGCCCTAAGAATATGCATGGCCTTCTAGATTCCTAGGAGTATTGGAGCTTTCCAAATCCCTTTAGAAAACCTCTTTCCTCAGATTTTCTTTTTAAGCCTTATGATTAGTCCGTTGTTCACCCCAATTCTTACCTATCATCTAAAGCAGCTGCAATATTAAAAGCTTGCATGTAGATGTTTTTGATAAATGCCCCATAGGATGAGGTTATTAGCACTAGGTGAGCTTTGAGTCAGGCCATATAAAGACAAGCTTTTCATGTGAGATCTTCTAGGGAACCATCTGAAAGGTGAAATGATAATTCTTTGGAAATGGGGCTTTGAAAGAGATCTAGCTTTATTCTGCTCCCTTTGTTATCAAGAATGGGCACTAGTACTTTACAAGGTTGCCCAGGGGAGTCAGGGATGGAGGTAGAGCAAGTTAAAATGCAGCAAAGCTCATTGAGGTAAAAATAAGCTTAACATTCACATTCCCCCCAACTCTGTCCCGAATTTTAAACCTGTGCAGATTTAAATCTATAACGAATTCAAGTCACAGTATTTTGAAAATTTTAATTATATAATTTAACTTTAACTCAGTCAGGTGAGGAGAATTAAACAGCCATTTTATGGGGAGGGGTGGTTATGTAATAAAATTCATCTTGTTTATATGCAAGCAGTGGAATAAATTGAAATGTGATTTGAATGATTTATTTCCATGTTGTAATAATTATGGTTTTTTATTGTTTGTGCTGGTATTGATAAATAATCAGATATTACATGCCATTTTGTATTAGTTTAATTGAGAAGCCTGAGTCGAGCTTGGCCTAAAGTGGAAATTTGTTGGCTCAAAGAAGCAACACACAACTGCAGTGAGGGAAGGAATACAGCTGGGCCCAAATTACCACCAGGATTCTCTCATCTTCCTCTGTCCTTAAAACTAGCTTAACTCTGTTTTCTTTGACTGCAGGTGGGTTCTTCCAGTGTGGCAATCGGCACGACACTAACAGCAGCAGGATTTCCAGTTGTTTCACCTTCTCCAGCCGACAACTATCACTTTTTCTGAATTCCAAAAAAATCCCAGGTAAGGACTCTCATTGACTCAGCATGTGTTCCGTTACTTCCCCTGGAACAATAACTTAAAGCAGAAATTGGACAATACAGCAACATGGTCGTTATGCTGTTGGGGTTCAAAAACAAGGAGTTGTTTTTCCCTGAAATGGGTAGAGTGTAGTTGGGTTGGGAGATGCTGTGCAGTTAAGATACTTGATATTTAATATACTCTTGCAAATATCCATTTCAAAACCAATATAAATACTAAATTTACTTCCAATATGACCTTATTCTTATTTTAAAAATACCCAAACTAACAACAGCAACAAAACAAAACAATGCTCTCCAAAAAAATGCAACAAAAAGGATCAGTAAGCTCCTCTCACTGTTCATGTTTAATCACAAGATTAAATCAATTTAGAAAAAAAGGTAAAATGGGCATAGGGAAAAATCTTAACATTCTAAGAATACCCAAACTGAATTTCTGAGATTTAAAGCACATGTTCCAGATCTGAAAGACAATAGAATTAGGGAACCCTATCTATACATTGTTGAGGTCGTGACTGTTTTGAATGCCTGTGTGGGTCACTCTACCAGAATAATCACAAAAACTTTATTCTAATTGCATGTGAAAGAGATAATTACTTTATTTATACAGAATATTTAGATTCAATAGCCCTGATTATTTTAGGCTAAAGTGCATGAGTGTCTCTTTAAAACTTAAATTATCTGACAATTGTTTCAATTGTATGCGTGGCTCTGCTTCATAGTCAAGACTTAGCAATTATGCAGTTGATATGAACACTATAGATCAAAGTAAGAATTTAATTCCAAGAATGAAATCTTCTGTTTGCCATTTTATACTGACTGCACCAACAGGCCAATCAATAACTGTCCCCTTCATGTGTACAATGTGATTTTTTTTTTTTTTTGAGATGGAGTCTTGCTCTGTGGCCCAGGCTAGAGTTCAGTGGTGCTATCTCAGCTCACTGTCCCCTCTGCCTCCAGGTTCAAGCAATTCTCCTGCCTCAGCCTCTCGAGTAGCTGGGATTACAAGTGTGTGCCACTATTTCTGGGTAATTTTTGTATTTTTTGTAAAGACAGGGTTTCATCATGTTGGCTGGGCTGGTCTCAAACTCCTGGTCTCAAGTGACCTGCCTGCCTCGACCTCCCAAAGTGCTGGGATTACAGTCATGAGCAACCACACTTGGCCACAATGTCCTTTTATTTGGATGTTTGTTTTGTGTCTATACTCTCAGTTTAAATTAAATCTCACAATAGAGATGATGTTTAATATAACTCTAATTTTCAAACTTTAACATTTCTTTAAACTGATTATCAAAATATCGAAATTTACCACCATTAGACATCATTTATAACAAGACAGTAAAGTCATTATTTTACAGACCTGCCATAGTTTAGAATCCTTTAAAGTTATTACCTTATCTACCACAATAGAACCAAATTTTGCCTCTTTTATATATCCAAACACCATGCACCCAGGAACAAATTGGATTCCTGAATGCACTCTACTTGCAGTCCTTCTCCACTGTCATTAAATGAAACTATTTGGTCACAAAAATATCATGATTGAATGAAAATGTAGTGCCAGTGTTTCCCGTGATTTATTCTGAATTCCTTCTGTTCACTCTTAATTCTCCATACCTAGGAAGAGTTGTTGAGCTGAGGGAAAGAGGGCTGGAGCAGGAATCAGCAGACATTACCATTTATCTATATAGTGTCACGAATAAATACCAGATGTGGCTCTTGCCTGTCTTCTACTCTTTCCCCTCTATTTCATCATAGATATTAATTATGTAACAAGTTTGGCTGACATTAAACACTGAAATAAGAAAAGTATGGAACGTACTAAAACTCCTTTTTATTACTAAGATACTTAGAAATGTAAAAATGAACATATGTTTTGTAGGAATACTAAATTTCACCAGTGTGTAGTGTGTCTTTTATTGTACTGACTCTTTAAAAATTAAATTCCAGAATCCTCCTTTTACTTTTTAAATTCTGAGAATGAGTTTCTGTAATAGTTTAATGGAGAGCTTCTCCATGGAAATAATGGGGTGGTACGTGTGAAAATTGTTCAAATCAAAATGGAGTCACTAATGTTAAAACAAATAAACTCACCCAAGCTACTTAGGAGAGATTGCAGTGAGTTGAGACCATGCCACTGCACTCCAGCCTGGATGCCTGGATGACGAGAACGAGACTCCGCCGTCTCAAACAAACAAACAAAAAAACCCAAATATTTTAAATCCTATTAAGATAATTTCCTGTGTGTCTTTTTTTTTTTTTTTTTTTCCCCTCCCTTAGAGACAGGCCCTGCATTCTGGTTAGCCGCCCAGGCTAGGATGGCAGTAGGTGCGCAATCATGTTCACTATCGAC